AAATAGCCCATAGGCATGTCCTAGCTTAAGTTTAAAACAGCCTAGTGGATCATTGGGTATACCGTAGCCTGGGGGTATACCTTGGTTTGTTATACTGGCAATCGCATTTGTCTTGGATACGCAAGAATGCATGTATTAGACTGCTTCAGTAAGTTGCTAAACAAATGTATTCAGGGTAGGTTCATATATTTATTTCTTTTAGTTTAAATTGACATGAGTGAAAATGTACAGGGCGACCAGTGAAACCGGAATAATGTTTATAAAGCAAACGTAAAAAGATATATGATTCCATTAAAAAAAATATTTCGTAATTGCATAAAAATCTTTTTCCCAGAGAATATTGTTTCTCTTCTAATGCATCTTTTAAATAAGCCAATTTTTGAAAGTAATGCTATCCAGTAACCATTCAGGTTCCAGTAATGCATAATAAAGAATTCCATTTGATAGACCAACCTGAAACAGAATTGCTTTTTTTCACAGTAGATTTCTTTAGCTTGATTTGCTGAAGCCTCTTTTAAATCTAGCCACGATGTTTGTTTGTTTTTTTTGTTTAGTTATTCTCTTAACCCATTAATTGCCAATTTTTTTTAATGCGCATTTTTGGCCCAGACAGGTGTCTTAGGAGTTAAACTACATATAATATTAAAATTTTCTTCGCATAGCTGCTACTTTGAAACTTTATAGAAACTAGAACATCAAATATATATGTGTATAAAACATCAAAAAATAATATTGATTAGAAATAATAAAAAGAATACTTTATAAAATAGTCATTATTTTTCTACTCGTGAAATGTAAAATTATGACAGAAAGTGTCTTCTTACGGCTAATAATACAAACTTTAAAGGCTAAGTGTTGTAAAATATACCTCTGCAAATGCAATGTGTGCAAGCAATTCAATGTAAATACAAGGAATAACATGTAGTGAGTTTAATTTTAACAGATCCCCAAATGGGGCTCATAGCAGCTAATGGGTTAAAAAATCCATTTTTATAGCTAGTGGTTATGCTACCTAACAATATCGTTTTTGTGAAAATTTTGTTTTTCAATCATGGTCAATGTCACATTCACTAAGCTTAGAATGTAATTCGTTTTCGTAGTTTCCGACATTTATTGCAAACATTTAAACCAGTTATCATTTCACAAGAAATAATGATGTATAAAGTTCAAAGACATTTCTACAATTTTTCAAATACCGTACAAAAAAAAAATTGACGCTGGGAAATTTGGCATCAATTCAATAGATAAGAGCTCTGTCCGGGAAGTATCCAACCATTTGATATTACCAAAAACGAAAAAAAAAAAAAAAATAGCCTCCCTAAATCAAAGACACCGTAACCCTTGAAGTATTTGGCTCCCGTACCTCTGGTGATATATCAAAGAAATTCAATGCTATGTATTTCCCCATCTTCCTAATTAAAAGTTTTCTTTTTTGTTCCTTAATAATGACAGTTTGCTTTCTGTAAAATTTCATCAGAAACAAAGAAAAGAGTGTTGAATTGTTATGTAATACCGGTCCACTTATGTGGCAGTGAATGCTGGACAATCTCATCACAGACGAAGAAAAGACTTGGGGGTAACAGAATTGTGGTTCTACAGAAGGATGCTGAGAATACAATGGACTACACGTGTGAGCAACGACGCAGTTTTAGAGAAAATGGAAATAAAACGGATACTTATACTTAGAATCAGTAACAATTAGAATCAGAGACAATTGAAATTTCTAGGACACACAATGAGACATATTGGAGGCAAGATAATCAAAGGAAAAGATGAGAATAAACTACACGCGCCGTCGCCTCTCTCTGTCTTTTCTACAAATACTTTCATGGTAATTGCTCCGATGAGCTGCTTTCACTGGTTCCCAGACTCCATGAATTCAAGCGCCCTACTAGGCTGGCATCCCGCTCCCACCCTTACACTGTAGAAACTTTTAAATGTAGCCGTCTCTTCTACTCCAATATCTTCATACCTCGCACCTCTCGCCAGTGGAACACCCTCCCCAATTACTGTTTCCCTGAGAGCTATAATCTCCAACTATTTAAATGTAATGTCAATCGACATCTCCAGTTACCTTGATCTATCCACTATCCTTCTCCTCATGCTTTCTTCTATCTCTCCTATCTGCTCTCGCTCCAAATCTTCTGCAACCCCCTGCATCCTAGTGGCTTCACGCCTTGCTCGGGGCGTAATGATTAAAAAAAAACATAACGAGCTTGTGTTGACAGAACAGGGATTAGGAGAGATGGCAACAAGCCAAGCACTGCTAAATGCTAGAAAGGACAGGAAGTTGGGGAGAACCATCATCGCCGATATTCTGTTTTTAATCATATCGCCCAATGCAAGGCAGTAAAGCGACCAAGACACAAGTAGTTACTGAATGTACAATAACAAGAAAAAAAGGACATATATAAGAAATCTAGAAGTGTAAACAAAAAGTAAATAAAGATTGACATGGCATTTAAATTTTTGAAAATGAAAGTTGACTGGAATGAACTGCAATAAAAGAAACTGTTACCGTAGAACTTACGGTTACATCTAGCCATTTCAATTGTGAATTGAAGAGACCTCACTGCCAATCTAGTACTGCGTATAAATGAAAAAAAAAAGACTAGGTAATGTAACGAAAAGTTAATCCAAACAGTTACCATGGACGTATTTATCGAAAAGACACAGGGAAGCTACATTACGACGGAGGGAAATTGAGTGAATCCGAGATGCCAGATAAGGATCAGTAATATTGCTGATTGTTCTTTGGATTTTATCAAACGTAACGAAAAGTTCATCCGAACGATTGCCATGGAAGTATTTATCCAATAGAGACAGGGAAGCTACATTACGGCGGAAGGAAATTGAGTGAAGCTGAGACGCCAGATCAGGACCAATGATATTGCTTATTCTTCTTTGGATTTTATCAAGAATCACTAGATACACAGCAGGAGCATCGTACCATTTGTGGCAGCAATATCCAAGGCACGGACGAAGGGTAGACATATAATTATGTAAGATAGATTCAGGAATGAGAAAGACTGTCCAGCCCGAAATAGTGAACCAAATCTCTTAGCCGCAAACCTAGCAATGGATTCAATATAAATATTTCCACTTCATGTCAGTCGTGAATGTAGGCCTGAGTGGTTAATATCAGCAGTACTGATGGCAAGCAGGAAGGGGTCATTCAGCTTTAATAAGCTATCTTGAGTATGCAGGCCTTTAGACGAGATAAACCCTGTTTCAAATAAACGGGGTGTCTACTCAACTACGGGTATTCACTGGAGTGACACTTGAATTAATGAAGAACTGTGTTATAGAGATTTTTATGACTTCTGTAATAAGAAACAGAAGTAAATTTCTTGACGAAGGCTTTAATAAACAGAGTAATCATCGACAGTGTTTAGAGCAATTTTGAATACATAGAATAAAAGTAAAATAAGGATATGTATATACAGGGTGTAACAGCAAAATTGTCGATCCCATCAAATGTTTAATATCTAAAAATAAACACTGAGTTTTTTCCCAAGTTTTCAGATAAGTTTAGTCATCTTGATGACATTTATCGTAAGAATCACTGAGAAACACTTTGTTATTCAAAAGAGAACAGGTTCAAATCGTTTTGTGTCAGAGCCACTGTGTTCTTAATTGAGCAATGGTGAGAGGAAAACGATCATTCAGTCCTTCAGTAATAGCACCAACATTCATACTATGGCTTTCATCTTCGATCTCCATTCAAGAATCATCAAGAGATGGGTGAATAAGTTTTAAAAAGAGGGAAACGTTGAGTAGAAAACTGGATCAGGAGGTCACAACATAAAGAAGGATTATCATTTCAACTAAAGAGATCAATCAGAACAGATCCAAGTCAACCCATAAGACTTTTGGTACGTGAAAGGCGAGTTTCAGCTATGGAAGTCCAAAGAGCAGTGAAAAAAAGACTTGAAAATGAAATTGTACGTGAAACTTATTACTCTAAGACAGAGAGTTAGAGGTTAGAAGGTTAAAGATGGCGAATATCATCTTGAATAAGTTTGAAATGATCCTGGTATAATATATATATATATATATATATATATATATATATATATATATATATATATATATATATGTCAGGTTTTCACTTTTTTAGGATTTGGATTACTTCTAATGTTGACTTAACACTATATTTACTAGGAAGGTAGGGAGTAATAAGTTGGTTAATGTATTTTGTTAGATGATATACAGGAGTATCATATCGCAAATTCCAACTCCTGTATATCACCTAACAAAATACATTAACCAACTTATTACTCCCTACCTTCCTAGTAAATATAGTGTTAAGTCAACATTAGAAGTAATCCAAATCCTAAAAAGTGAAAAACCCGACAATGAAATCATGGCTTCACTTGATGTTGAAAACACACACACACACACACACACACACACACACACACACACATATATATATATATATATATATATGAACTTTATAGCAATCCTTCATAGGCTTCCAATCCTTACTTATGATTAATTAATGATGAAGATGTCATTTTATGATCGATTTCATCATGATTCCTCTATTAGTCTTAGAGAATAATTATACATTCTTATTGCGCAAAGTAGAGTCCAGAAGTGTTTTGCTGTTACACCCGGTATAGTACAGTAAAAAGGTGGATAATCCCGGATTAGTGTCAACCGAGGGAAATCTATACTTATGATAACCACCAAAATTTACCCCCAAAGAAGCCTGAGATAAGGACATTATCACGAGACAGAGAGCACTAGCTCTCCCAGTGACGTCTCATTGCCAACTGTGAGACAACCATAGGCGAGCGCCTGTTCATGCTTGCGTAGTCATGATCCCCTCTGGTAAGTTGCCCCTAAGTTACACGTGAACTGCACAAAGATTTCTCGAGACGGCTGGATACTTTCCGGACCTATAAATGTGTTTTCTGAAGCAAGGTTTATGATATTGTCTAGATCTCTTTAATACGCGCCTGCATTCGTTTCCAGGTTGCTCATACATCCTGATGGCTTCTCTTGGATCAATTGGCGGAGGAATTCTATCGGGCTTCTTTAAAATTGGACCCAGGGGTTCCATCAAATTCTTACTGACAATCAATTTCTTTGCTTTCTTCCTGCTTTGGGTTTGTCCAGCCATTACCTGCCCACAACATGAATTCGTAAAAACCCATCAAAGCCAGAGGTATGTCGTTTACTTATTTATTAAACTTTCCTTAATCTGGCAAAAACAATACGTACTGCGTTTGAAGGAATATTAAATCTACTTTTTTTTTTCTTAAAACATCTAAATCTTTTATGTTTGATTGTTTTGTTTTTTACGGCTTATCAAACATTTGTAGGTTATTTAATACCAGGAAATATATTTAGACTGCAAGAAATTTTGGAGATAATACTGATTGACTGATACAAGTTCTACTAATTAACCCATAGTTGGGGGAAGAAACGTATTTACATCTTTACCAATGGTATTTGCTCTTAAGTGAAAATAAAGAACCCAACTGGAATTTGAACTAGGTTCTCCGATTTCCAATTCCGAGCTGTTCTCAATTACAACAACCGCACATCCATGCTTACACCTCCTGTTATCCACAAGCGGTCACTCATCTAGGTACAGACCAGTACCAACGTTGCTTAACTTTGGTGATCGTACTGGAATCGTTATCAACGTGTTATGGCCCTAAGTAAAACTGGGATATTTCGTAGACTAAAATTTACTAAGATGAGCTTTTAATTGCCATGTACTTTCAGGGCAACTGATCTCAGGGCTTTCCACATATTCCTTTTCTCTACTAACTAAGAATTGCCATGACTTCTTCCAAAAAGTTGGGCAGTGGCTTACCATTCAGTCTAATGAACATGGAATTCAGGATTTTTCCTTCTTCAAAATTAGCTTCTATCCAATGCTAAAGAGTCCAGACTAAACTTACATTTAGCACATGCTTGTCGGAGTGCGTGAAGAAAGGAACACATATCTTTCCTAAGCGCATGTGTGCGAAAGTAAACTCAATTATGCCGGGATTTGAACTCTTCTCACCGATTTTACTTTCTACACGAATGTAAGCAAGTAGTGTCGTCTGAAGATATTAGATTAACCCATTAACTGCCAATTTTTTTTTAATGCACATTTTTGGCCCAGACAGGTGTCTTAGGAGTTTATTTATTACTTATGTTTAATGTCAGTAGTTACCATTGTCATTTTTATAGAAACTAGAACATCAAATATATATGTGTATAAAACATTAAAAAATAATATTGATTAGAAATAATAAAATTATTTTCATTATTTTTCTACTCGTGAAATATAAAATTACGACAGAAATAAAAACTTTAAAGGCTAAGTGTTGTAAAATATACCTCTGCAAATGCAATGTATGTAAGCAATTCAATATAAATACAAGGAATAACATGTAGTGAGATTTAACAGATCCCCAAATGAGACCCATGATTGTCATTGTAAGTTGACTTCGTCAATGTCATATTTTCTTGTTTATTCTTTCTTTTCCTAGTATACAGCCGATTCGTTCTACGGCCTTATTAGTTCTGTCTAAAAGATCTAAAATGAAGCATTGTCATTATTATGTAATGCTAAACAATTTACCATACATAATGTCATTTTTAACAGACGTTAGTAGTCCTGGGTATGACGATAAACTTCATCTGGCAGCAAGGGCACTGATCAGGAGATTAGAGCTTCCGAGGAGCGTGGAACGACATCTTAATTACTATTGTTCCCAGATCCACTCTGACTCGGGGACAGGTAGCACCTGGTAGGGTATCAGCTATAGTCAAATAATGACCCCCCCAAGCTAAAAAAAACAAAATTCCGTAAAATTATAAAAAATTCCAGAGATGGATATGCAATATGATTGGTCCTGATCTGGCATCTCGTCTATATATATATATATATATATATATATATATATATATATATATATATATATCTTTGTCTATCTCATGTTTTTTTGTTTATTCTTTCTTTCCCTAGTATACAGCCGATGCGTTCTTCGGCCTTATTAGTACTGTCTAAATGATCTAAAAGCATTGTCATTATTCTTCTAAACAATTTACCATACATAATGCCATACTTTTTAACGATAAACTACATCCGACAGCAAGGCCTTTGATCAGGAGATTAGAGCGTGGAATGATTTCTTAATTACCATTGTTTCTAGGTTCATCTTGACTCGGGGTGGTAGCACCTGTTAGGGTCTCAGCTATAGGCAATATTGAACCCCAAGCAAAAACAAAATTCTATGAAAGTATAAAAATATATTTTTATACTAAAAATACCAGCAGTACATATTTATATTTTAAAAAGAAATGACCAACAATACATTTTTAAAGCAAAATGACCAACAATATATTTTACCTATAGTTGAAGGAAACAATTGCGTTCAAAATATATTTACACTATTTATATTATTCAGACTATTGTCTTCATCTTTGTCGCCATATTTATTACAACGTTTCGGCTGTTGTACGCTCCGGAAGAACACATGACACAGTGTGTAAAGGCGTTAGTTAGATCCAGTGGCAGGACCCGAAGAGTGTGAGTTCAATATCCGGTTAAGGTAGTGGAGAACTTGGAGAGGAAATTAGCAGAAGATAACTGACAACTGACATCCATTAAACATGGCACGTGGAACTAGAACAGTCTACCCCAGTGAGCGAAATAAAAGGTTCAGTTCGACATTCCAACAACCTGAAGAAGGCCGGAGAGTACAACGGTCGAAACGTTAAATATGGCGACAAAGATGTGGACAATAGTCTGAATAATGTAAATAGTGTACATAATACTTCATCTCAGAAATATCGACAAAATATATTTAGTTGAAACCTAAAAACTGTGTTCAAATTATTTAGATTTCGGCGTTAGATGACCCATAGAGGTTTTGATATACCGCTAAATTGAATCAGCCAGGCAACAGATTTTAGTAGTTGGTCTGTATCAGTTATCTCAATATTTACGAAGTTTCTCTTGTGCGCATCGGGATATCAGAGTGGTGAGATGGATAGCGGCTTCGGAAAGAGACATCGGAGAACTGCGTTCGAAATCCAGTCGAGTTCGTTATATACAATTATGCGCAAATACTCTTGGCAAAGGTATGAATCCATTTTTCTTCCACGCTCCCTTCGCCCCCATCACCGCCACTAATAGGTTGAATAGTAAGAAATATCTGAAAAAAAAATCATTGTTAACTTTAAAGCAATATTCAATTACATAAATAAAATAAAAAAACAATTTCTTTGGTTTCACAATATGCATCGGTTTAAGATAATCTCCAGAAAGGTTGATAAGCCGTCAAAAAGTAAAAAAACAAGAAACGGGGCTGGAAGTTGAACTTGAATCGCCGATTCCAAGTTAATCACCGATAATCGTTACTCTACCTGAACATTCTGACAATTATTCTACATCGTCTGGATGTATAATAATATAATGTTAAATATCTCTAGGGATAGCTATTGTGTACCATCAAATGAGAACAGTCTTATTGAAGCATATAAATATTTGGATGAATTGTCAAATGTTATTAAATAGTCTCGTTAGTTCGAGACTTTCCTGTGGAGGCCATGTATGGCGCCCAAACCCTTCAGACAGATCTAAACTCTCAGTTGAGTAAAATCGCTTTCTTAGATTAATCAATAAAAATGGCTCCGAGCGAATGAACGCTACAGATCGTAGCCAGGGTCATCCTTCTTGGAGCCACAAAGAACAACACCAAATAACAGAAGACACATCATTTGCTGATTTCCAGCAGCAGTAACAACTAAAATGGAAAGCGCATGTAACTTGAGGAGAAAATAACGACATAAACATGATAACTGAAATTTCACACTACTTCTGTTGGGGAGAAGTCCCGAGAAATACTGGAAAATACGATAAGAGTTATCGGACTTGAGAAACTTTTCATGATTTTCTTTGTTTTATAAGACCATTTTTATAAGACCATTTTTATAAAAGAATCAATGACTCTTTAATCATTGAATGTCGAATATTTCGAAAGTGGTATATTTTAAATACATTTTCCCCTTAATAAATATCTGACTATTTTTATCAAAATCATATTTTTGAAGACGAAATTATGTCCAGAACTATTACGATGATTCTAGGATGAAGTTACCTTGACTTAAATTATACAAGAAATACAATACATAGGCGGGTTCATCTAAGAAGTTAAATAAACGTCTATATCGCAGATTTTATACAAAACAATAAATTCAATGCATTTATCATTCTTCAGAAGAGCCCTGTCTATAAAAGTAAAAAAAATGATAATATATGTATATATTTATTTGTTACTGTGTATTTCCTTTTATGAGAAAGCAGAGGTAATAATAAATGTCACTTTCAGACATTGTCCAAAATAGCACTCCATTTATTTATTAGATTTTTCCAGTTATATTGTAATATTTCTTATATAATTTATATGATTTTCGTTACAAGGTTTAATTTTAGCCGCATTCAACCTGTTTTTAATTTAACAAATGAATCCGGAACGTCCTGTCGTCGGTGTGAATGCAATGAATTTGAATATGATCCAGTCTGTGGGGAAAATGGCCAGAACTTTCAAACCCCTTGTATGGCAGGTTGTCAAAGGAAGAGTTCGACAGGTTTTGTGAGTATAAATATTTTGTCCCTCTAAACTAATATTTCAAATGCACATACACAGAAGAAAACATACATATATATATATAAGAAAATTTCTCAGGAGTTATCCTGTAGAAAAGACACTATTTATAAATATAAATGACAATAGGAAAACTGCAGTTATTGCTGACGCACATTGACACATTGGACGAAACGCGTCATCAATAACTACAGTTTCCCTATTGTCATATATATATATATATATATATATATATATATATATATATATATATATATATATATATATAAGGCGCGATGGAAAAATTGGCGTATAAATTACGATATCTCATTTAACAGATATAATTACCGAAATTACAGCAACATATCTTGAAACACTAAAGATTAAATTATTCAATAAAATCGCCATTGGCTTAAACCAAAGCCTCCAGGCGACTTCCGAATATCTTACAAATCTTCTGGACTGTCTCCTTGTTAAAGTTGGCGAGTGTTGCGATAATGTGTGGCTTCAATTCGTCTTTGTGTTACAAGGAATTTTGTTGGTCTCTCGCTCGACTGCGCCCCACATATAATAATCAAGGGGATGAAAATCTAGTGCTTTAGGTGGCCAGATCTAAGAGGTGTTGTGGGCGTATAAATTGTCTGACAGCAATGACTGGGTCCTATTGCTTGTTTGGCATGGTGCATTTCCTTTTGCCAGACATGGGTCTTCCAGCAGGACTACCTGCTCAAGGAACTTAATGTAGGCCTACGTGTTGAATCTGAAGCCCTCACCAAAAAATTATGGACTTCATTTCTTATCAGAACGAGCAGAGTGAATTTTCCGGCCTGCCGTACCTACATATTCACGATTAGACTCATCCAACTCTTTACGAATCTTATGCTCTGTTCTCAGATTGACACCTAAACACACGGAAATGTTCGTTATTGGAGCTTCCGGCGCGAATGCCAAGCAGTACAGCATGCCGTTTCCAAAATTCTGGCGGAGTGAATACAGTCAAGGTACCCTTGTTCTGACAGATGGTGGATAAAATCAAAAACATACACAGCGCATGCGTGAAATTACAAATATAAAATGCTGACAATTAACCCATTGTACACAGTAATTATATATATATATATATATATATATATATATATATATATATAGCAAGTTATTAGAGTCACTAGAGGCCGAAAATGAATTCAGCAACTCATCTTTCCGTCAGTGGACATTATAACCAACAATATTTATAAGCATACCTTATTTTCACCTCCGAAAATACAACCAATATATTTCAGGTAACTGCTGTTAGCCCGTATCCCAAAAGTTCACTTAGGAAATATATTCACACAAACTAATGGTTTCGCTATGAATTTATCTACCGCTTAAGCACGATCCATATTCTATGAGTCAGTCTTCTAAAAACGAAATCATAAAAGCAACCACCTTAAATCACCAACAGCGACTATGTTCATTATATGTTCATATTAAAACTTATGGTTATATCATGTTGAAACACCGGATACCCTATGATCACCGAAGTTTAGCAACGTCAATCCTGGTCATTATCTAGATGGTAACTGCTTGGAAATACCAAGCTTGGATGTGCGGGTGGTGTAATGGATAATGACTCAGAATTGCTAATCGAAGAGCTGAGTTCCATTTCCAAATAGATTCCTTATTTTCTCTTATGTGCTTATAACATTGGAAAAGTTATAAATCCAACCATTTTCCTACAAATATGGGTAAGACGTGTTCCACCAAAGCATTATTATCTCAAAAATGACTGACAATCTAAAAATATGTTATGGATTTAAATAACCAATAAAAGGGAGGCACCTTGGTATAATGGATAGCAGCTCGGTTTGAGGAATCAGAGAGCTGAATTCGAATTCCAGTCAAATCCACTTAGGTGCTAATACTCTTGGGAAAGGTATGAATCCTCTTCTTCTTCCCCACCAATCTATGGGTAAATAGCAGGACTGACCGAGTTCTATAGCCTTGGATGTAAACTGGTCAACAGCAGAAAAAAGTGACAACCTACTGTGGGAAAAAATCTGCCTCGTCAGTCATGTATCGAAAGATACATGATCGCCTAAACGTGTATCACGTATGGCACGTAACTTACTGATAAGGCGTAAAAAAGTTTGAATCAACAATTACAGTAGACGGAAACAAATATTCGTACACATACAAATTTTGAATTTATTGTACTTCGAGCTGATGAGTAAACATAATTTTCATATAATTAACTGTATACTGTTACATAATAACTAAATATGCATAGAAAGCAGAAAGACATGTTTAAATAGCAATAACTTCCATGTATCCATTTTAATGGGTGAAAAAAGTATTCGTACAATGCAAATTTCAGATTTTATAACGTTTAAATTGATTTAATACTTTAGGTTATTCAAGTGGAATATTCTAGAAAGTTTCAATAATGTTATCAGTAGTTACTTTTGCCAAAAAAATACAAACAGAACATTCTTTGACTGATATTCGTGCAAGATTTTCATCATGGCAAAAGGTAAAATTAACAAATTTCTAAAAAGAACAGATTAAGCTCTACAAAAAGGGTTGAAATTACAGGATAATCTCAGACAACCTAAATATTCCATTTAGTACTCAAAACTGATGAAACCCGAAGAACAGGTGATCCACGGAAGATTTCTCCAACATCTTCGAGGAAATTAATGCATCAAATAAAACAAAATTTAAGGGTTACTAGTCAAGAGTTGCAGGGTGATCTATCTATCTATCTATCTATCTATCTATCTATCTATCTATCTATCTATCTATCTGCCTATTACTTTAAGAGTTACGGTCATATCTCGTTGAAATACCGGATACTGTACGATCACCAAAATTAAGCAACGTCAATCCTAGATTAGTGACTTCTTTGGAATACCAAGCTTGGATGTGCAGGTGGTGAAATGGATAATGGCTCAGAATTGTTAATCGACGAGCTGAGTTCCAATACCAGTAGGTTCGTTATTTTCATTTATGTGCAAATGCCCTTCGGAAAGGTTTAAATCTACTTCTCCCGTGTTATGGATTAATTAGTGTTGTGGTACGATCCACCTAATTTACATAGTGGAGGACCGACCATATAAATATGGGTTGGTACCGGGAAGACGAGAAAGAAGTAAGAAGAAATCCAATCCAGAGACTCTGCCCGACTGCGATTAAGTCAACCCATTCTACAGGAACAGTCTTCCCAAGAATATACCAAAACTAACTGTAAATATTGTGTACCTTTTCCTTGTTTCAATACATTTTGTTTACGTACATTTTGTGTTGTATTATTATTATTCCATGCTTATCCAAGCTTCAACAATTAGTAAGACGTTTGCCACTGAAACATAATTATCTAAAGAAAAAGTCTTACATTCTAAGAATATTGTATCGTTTTAAATAACCCATAAAGTGGTAATGAGCCTTAAAAAAGAATGAATCAAAATCATATGATCATCTTAAATAAAAATTTAAATGGCCAAAAACAGAAAATAATATACTACTTAATTTATTACATGAACTTAACATCTAGTCTAGATCTATATATATAAAAATCACATATATTCTAATTAATCTATTTGTCTATCTATATATCTAAATATTATGGTTATCTCTCTCTCAACCTCTCTCTCGTTCTCTCTCTCTCTCTCTCTCTCTCTCTCTCTCTCTCTATATATATATATATATCAATCTATTACAATATATTCTAATCTATTTGTATATATATATATATATATATATATATATATCTTAGTATTATGGTTATCTATGTATGTGTTCACCTATCTATCTATCTATCTATCTTTCACTTTGTTTATATCTATCTTATATTTTGCTCATCTTGAAGAAAATATTTTTTTTATTGTTGAGATGTTATTTCTTATGTAACAAACTCGACATTTCACAAGTTTACATTTATACAAATTAATCTACCCCACTCCACGTGCTGCTCAGGAAAAAGGTCGTATTTTGAAGTAGTTTTAATATATTCCTTCTTTCCAAATAAATCTGTGATCTAACTGCTGTTAATACAAGGAGGAAGTACTCCCCGATAGACTTATTTATTGTCAGTAAGCATTAAATAAATAATTTGTAATTTCCGGTTACAAACAATGTTTTCGTTCATTTTATAGGTCTATGAAAACTGCACATGCGTAGGTGGAAACCAGACAGCTATTCCAGGTACATGTCCCAAGGAGTGCAACGGGCCACTCATCGTGGCTGCAGTTCTAGCTATCCGTTCGTTTCTCGAATGTTTCTGTGTCGGCCCAAATATGCTCATCACTCTCAGGTATGTTTATCCAGATTTCTAGTTTCCGGTAGTTATCCGCGCATGTGTTAAAGTTTGCTTCGTTGATTACGTCTTGGAATTTTGAATTTGTCACGTGATCCTTTACTTCATTTTTTTTTTTTTTTTTCATAACTCATGAAAATCTCTGGTGAAGCGTGACTGTGATGTCGTGTCGTTTCTGAGAAGTTAAACACATTTTAGAATGCTATTTTGAGACTTTAAATGATTTCTCCGTTTGTGAAATGCCTCCAAGTGCGTATAAAGATTTTACTATTGGGAGATTTAATATTAGAGGACTCGTGAAAAAGAAACATAACGAAAAGCAGGAAAGGGCTCGGGCTATGTTTTTATATATATATATATATATATATATATATATATATATATATATATATATATATATAATTTAGCTCTTGAAAACATATTTTCAGTTGAGCACTGTGAATGGCAAGCTAATTCTAAAACAACGGTCACCTGCGTGAATGCGAAGCTCTTCAGTAAAATGAATGGAGCACTTTGGTTGCTTGGCGTTTGTTTACGTTTGTAAAAACAATATTCTAGATTTGGGTGACTCGTTCTGTTGAGTGAAGTTGGCTCAGTGGTAAAAGCCCTGACTGACACCAAAACAGTTGGGTTTCGATCTGGTTGAAGCATTTGGTTTTCTAGTCGCTAAAGAGCTGGGATACAGCGAAACAGTACTGTCTGAATGAATATATATATATATATATATATATATATATATATATATATATATATATATATATATATATAGTACAAGTTCGTTGGTATATAATCCAAGTGCATCCTAATAATATCAAATAGTAAATTAATCCACAGAAAGATCTCAATGCTATTATAACATAGCATATAAATTATACAAAAAAATCCAAAATTAACTCCTATGGGTATAGATCTATTTCAGTCAACGCGAAGTACGTCGGTCTTATACAACCTCTGGAGATCGTTGGTTGAAATAGATCTATACCCATAGGAGATTCTATCTTCAAGAATCCAAATCCAAAGAAGTAGTTGATAGTAATATCGGAGTGAGACAGCAAATTGTATTAGCTTTGAAAACAGACAATAAATATTATGGAAATGATTTCCACATCAATAATAAATTGAAGAATAACATTCATAGACATAAGACGAACAACCATAGAACACACAATGAAGAACATTAAAAGAACTATCAAGAGAATTCCATCATTCCCATAAAAAAAATCAAATAGATTGGAAAACCAGCATCACTTTAGTGAGTTAGCAAATGAGAGGAAGCCTTAGAAAAGGACAGATAAGAGTTATTTACAAAGTTGCTGAAGATGAGAAAGCACACTTTTGTAATGTGCTTTCAAGTGGAAAGAGCACTCATGGTGATGTTATTAAAAAAATATAGATTATATTGTTTTATTTCAATTTGGTCAGAATTGTGTTGTGTGTTTTCGCGAGAGTGATGTGGTTGTATATCCTATGTATGATGTTTTTTTCTTATTTTCAGCGTAAGATTCTCAAATAGAACAAATGAATTTGCAAAATTAAGAAATTTGGTTCTAATTATGTGTCATCGTTGTATAAACATAGAGACTTGAAATATAAATTTCTTTCGTTCTTTTTTCATAATAACTAAAGTCAGACAAATGCCTGGTTCCTTATCAGAATTAACACAAAATATAACCAATTAAATTAAACCTCCAACAATAAGATACAGCAAAAATTTCATTAAATATATAAAATATATAATTTGCTTATAACCTTTAACAAACCTTGTTTGAATATGTAATTAGGTGCATTTTAAAAAATATGGTAACTTTATCTGAAGAAATATTTATTAATTTCAAAGAAGTACAAAACACTAATCTCCTTCAAAGTAGGATCTTCTGACTTCAATACAGTTTCTATAGGACTTTAGACACTTCGTGAAGTCATTCAAAGAGAAAATCAGGACACTTGACACTACCTCTCTCATCTTCTCAATGTCTTCAAAACGACAGCCTCTGAGATTTTTCTTCAGCTTGGGGAACAACTAAAAGACAGAAGGACCAAGATCTGGACAGTAGGTAGGATGAGGGACAGTTTTGATGCCCATTTCTGCCAGCAGAAAACATTGATGTATAGAGTATTTCCAAAATGTCTTCACGTCCCGACTGCATCCTGTATACTTGTCAGCAATGAAAAGCAGCGTTTAGTAGGGCTGTGTTCAAAGAGATATTACAACCGTTTCCTTCAATCTGGAATAACGAAAAAATGGCAGGTCAGCTTATTACAAGTATAGTAATGATATACTAAAATTACATTTACCTCAGACAGTTATAGCTACCTCTCACAAAGAAAGTTTCAAAACATCTGTATTGCAACGGGTATATACATGGAAGCTGTTCATTTTAAGGTATTTATCAAGGCATGTTAACACTGGCGTCTTCACTGTTAAATATAGGACCACAGCGACACCACGCTAAGTGTTACTATTGTTTCCATACAACGTAGGCTTATTATGGTTTAGACTTTCTAACCTGAAGCGCCATCCGATTTTGAATTAAGAACTTTTCTTCTCCTTAACTGGTTGTCATCCAAAGTTAAAGATCCGAGATTGTCCTGTTACGTTTCTATCTCGTCTCTCTTGGAGGGAAAGGGGGTGAATACGTAGCTTTCTGATTTCTTTCCTGTTTTCTGAAGATAGACACAGAGGCATCGGCATCAACGCGCTAATTCTACCTATGTCACGCATCTACCCCATACCAAAATATATTCTTACCATATAAATTTTTTTTTTTATTTACGCTCACACATTTTTGGCGTTCAGTAAAAATCTAATTATATATCTATATATATATATATATACATATTTTTTTTCTTTGCAGATGCGTATCAGATGCTGACAAAACATTTGCTCTTGGAATCATGAGCTTTCTTTCTTCTTTACTAGGTAAACTTCATTTTTTTTCCAACGACTTATAAAACTATTTCAACCCATTTATCAGTTTATAAATACGTAATTTTTTTTTTATTGTAAACAGTTTGCAACTGAAAACGTCATTTCCAGATGAACTTTGAAGTAAGCAAGAACTAACACAACACATACATACTCACACAGACACGCATATATACATACATACGCACGCGCGTAAACGCGCGCACACGCACACACACACACACACACACATATATATATATATATATTAGTTTTAGGTATGCTACATTTATGGGTTTGAAAATGCTAAATATCAGGGATAGAGCGTATGTAAATATAAAAGTGGACATTGAGATCTTCACCAAACAACGACAGTCGGTTTTGTTTTGAAAGCAATCTTCATGTCATGACACAATTTGTCGGCGTTTGGGATTAGCCTGTTTCTACATATATTTAAGATAAAGAACAAACGGGAAAATGTCTACCAATCTAACATGTTTCAATTTATACACACACACACACACACACACATATATATATATATATATATATATATATATATATATATATATATATATATATATATATATATATATATATATATATATA